AGACTGATCTCCTATATACCGGCCGTCTCATATCAAATCCAACCATTCCTTTTTTTAGTGTTCCTCTCCGCCTCTTTTCTCCGGCGTTTACTCTCATTACAATTTATACTGCTTCTAATTTCTCCCTCATAACATGCCCAAACTAACTAATTTTAGTCTATTTTCGTGTATTACCGAAGCCACGACTAAGCTACTTTTTATGTACCTACTAACTACTTATTCGTTCATTATATTTTTATTTTTGTTTCCAATAAAAAACACTTTTAACGTGTATTATTTTGAATTTTTATTTGTTCGTTAGTCATTTCAATTTTTTTTTTTAATTATCAAATTTCTTTCCCGTGCCCTTAATTACGAAATAATCACGTAGGGGCGTTTGTTCTTTAATGGGCAGTTACTTTAATAAAGGTTGAGAAACACTGCTGTTTATAGAATATAATGTCGAAGAAAACAACAAACAATTTTGCATCATCATGATACTGGGTTTGTGTAGCTAATAATATAGGTCGTATCGTAATAAGGTACCTGTATCATTTTGCAGCATATTATTCAACCGTTAAAATAGTACACGATATTATTTTCGCGCAACCTACGATTTATCCTTGTTATTAATTAATACACTATTATTTTCGACGTCCACATGGCCTTGCAGTTAAAATTCTAAAAATAAAGCAAAACTAGTTCTCGTCGTCGTCCTTTCGGCGGGGAAATAGTCTGCAGCAACTGTTACAGTTTGTTATTATTCAGGGTCGGACTGACCCGGGCCGTTAGTCCGTTCCGGTCTTATTATATTATAGTTATTATTGAACTCTTGATTTTTCCCCTTTTCTTATGTTATTCTGATTAAATAAACCCCCCAAAATCTAGATAATTTCAAATAGCTGTATAAATAACTCAGAAAATTCCAGATTTTTTTAAAATATGTATCTATGTCTAGAAACTACCTACTAATAAGTATTCCATAAAAACGACAGGCCTCTAAAATTATTTTTCACATAAATTTCACGTAAATATTCCCATTTTTCCAATGTAGAAATGTACAAGGAAAATCAAGAAATGACCCGGAGAGCTCCAATAAGACTAAATTTTTTACTAGAAACAACTCCCTAATTGATGAAGAAAGGTTTATGGTCAGTAATTTGTTTTCAGAGAAGAATAAAAAAATACCATAATATAACTAATATGAAGTTCAAAATGTGTTTACATGCAAATAATAAATTATTATGGTTACTTCCGTTCAGGGGCGTCATTTGGGAGGAAGCGAGAATATGAATTTTCACAATAACAAGGTTACTCGTTTTGGACTGCAACGTGCCCTTGTATGTGGTTACAAATATCGACTGAAAGATAATTGACAAAAAACATTTAAAAAACTCTTAGAGATGAGATATCGACGTTTTTCATAAAACATATCTCCAGACATCGTATAATTGTTAGTAAATATTTGTTTTTCCTTTACCGTCGTTATTTTATTAGGTTTATTTTATATTTATAATAAAATGACGAGGTACTGAAAAAATACACTTTTTCTAAGAAAAAGAAACAGTTTTTTTTAAAAAAAAAGACAGATATACTTTACACGATGGATGCGGCCACTGTTGTTGGTGAGAATTTGGGAAGTTAGGATATAGAGGGGAAATTAATTTGTATCTGTAAACAACGATAAATCATTGCTTACTAAAAACAATTCTGAGCGTAGTACAGCTGATTGTGATGCTTTATCAACAATATATATGTCACTTTATAATCAAATAATTAAATAGGCATTGTATATTTTCTTTAATAATATTGTACCGGTTTTTCACATTTGCAGGGAAAACTCTTGGGAAAATCGAAAAATGGCCCTCTTAAAGTACCATCCCAATAAAATTTCTTTTTAAAAAAGGGTCTACATCGTATACATCGGATTATGCTTTCTAGTAGAAAAAGTGTTCACATAAAAAAAAAAAAAAATAATAATAATAAAAAATAAACACATTTGTAAAACCTATACATTTTTCGCTACACTTAGAATCTAAAAGAATACATAGGCGAGCGGGAATTTTAAAGAAGGTTTGTTGTTTCCATTAGAAAATAAATGGTAATGATTGAATTAGTAGATCTTGTAACTAAATAATTTATTTTATATATTTTATATAGGGAATACATTTACCGGGGGGGGTGGTTGGGAATCAGAATATCATGAATATTCACTTAGTTGAATATTCATAAAAAAATGCCGGCAGACGAGTGATCATATTTATTAAAACGTTGCAGATAACATAATAAATGCAGATTGTCGTTTTTTTTTTTCAGATTCGGAGCGTATTTCACTTAGTATCAGAAGAGAATAAAGTCGACATAATTATTAATTAATTGATTAATAATTTAATTTAATTATATTAGTGGAATCGAAATATAATAATAAAAAAAATTTAATTGAAAAAAAGGGATTCGCTTGTAATATGAATATAGAATTTCACAATATAATAAATAGTTAATGAGAGCGTTAAGCAATACTAATTAGTATTCATATTTTATAATTTTTTTTTTTTTTATAGAGAACGCATTATTTTTTTCTTATTAGACGTCATCGTTACGTTAAGTTAGTTTCGTCTGATCACGTCTGTGTCACGGAAGAAAATAACGAGGTCGGCGAAAAAATTGTTCATTTTGAAACTTTATTGTCAACCAGATTACGATTTATCGTTTAAAATGGCTATAAATTATTGGTAACTATTACAATTTGTTTTAATAATTTTGAATGTCATCGCTCCTGTCAAGATTGACGATTTCGTTGGGTATAACCCTTGGAAGATTTTCAATAATTTCCAGGCAGGGACGGGCCTTGGTCGTATGTATATCAAAGGTATTGTTTTCCATAGACTCCCGTATTTTTTAAAGATTTTGTATTAAAATTATAACAGCATCTATAGAAGGACATTCTCAGACAACCCATTAGACACCTATTAAGTATAATTTAAATGTTATTTTTTATGAATAAAGAGTTTTATAACGAGTTTAATAACGAGTTGGTTGGAAAATGATTTTGATTTTTTTTTTTCTATTAATTATACTCGCTATAATTTATACCAAAATTATGACATAGTCGAACCGAGAACTATAATTTAAACAAAAAAAAAAAAATTTCGATAAACAAAACTATAGTTCATGACTTACTTATGAACATATTAAATAAAAGTCCCGAAGTCCTTTGGGGGGTGGGGGGTGGAAGGATACTCAAAAGGGACGGACGATTCAAATAATTCATAATAATTATTCTGATAATAAAAATAAAATTCAATCGGTTATAATGTTTACTACATAATTCAACCAACTCAATGCGCCCGATAAATTGCTCGTGTGCCTGACAACCGTCCACTCAACGATTTTACCGACCTCTGGTTACGGCACCGGGCGCATAGCCGTTGGTTACTGATTTTACTGATCGCGATGTTTACAATAATTTGTCGTAAATTGCGCGAGTTATTATTTACAGATTAGTCGTTGGAGACATTGTGTTTTAATCGACAATACGACTAAGAGAAAGATGATGTCGTACCCGCATGGCGCGCACTGTCTCACAAACGCGCGACACAGTGAATATTTCCCGTTCAGCGGGAACAACTTTGCGCTTTCAGTTTTAAAATTATGGCAAACGGGCCAGATTATCAAACGTAATAACAAAAGAATGTTGCTCGTGGAATTACTCCGATTTTTCTTTTTCTAATTATTATATTATTATTTTATTATCGAAATATAACAGTTTGAAAACGTTTGTAACTCGCATGGAAATTAAAACATCGAAAATCGTCCGGTTACGGGGTCGCGCAGATAACGTTCGTTCTAATCCTTAAGGTCGATCGTCGGTCAATCGCGCGGACTGATGTAACAGCACAAAGTGTTCTCCGCTTAACGACAATTTGTCGTGCCCGTACGTTTGACGGAGACAGCACAATACGCGGGCGGATGGTATAATTATGTTGTGTTCGATTGTGTTCGTCAAGCTTGGTAAAATGGTAAAAAGTTTTCGAAAACGCAATTTTTCACCGTTCCAATGGAAATGACCGTGCTGATAATAATAATAATAATATACGTCGCACCGAATCTCGCGCTAAACATAATGGTTTTGTTGTTTTTAGAAATCCGTTTTATATTGCCGTTACTGTGCTCGATTAAGCCGTAGCTAATCGCGATCACACATCTATAGTGGCGAAACGAACGCGGCGTTTGAGAAACGGTTGCTCTCAGATTTGCGTTAAGATTAAGATGCTCAATTGTACGAAAAAAAAAAAAAACAACTAATCGTTTTTATTAAATGTACACAAAACGTCTGTAACAATAGTCGCGGAATTTTTACTTTTATACCAATGCATGCGACTCGGGTAATATTTTGCGTCCAACGGATTAACCCTCTCTCCCATACGGAAAACAGTCTACGGATGACTGCCGTTTATTATGTACCTTTGGAGAAGTCAATTTCTTTGACTATAGAAAAAAAAAAAAAAAAAACGGAAAAACCTAATGAAATTGTGACGCGAATTTAATATCCGTCCAAAAATAACCGGTTCGATTTTCGGCGAACGCCCGCGCGGTCATCGTCGACGCGCGCGGTTCAACGGACTCGGTCGTTTTTCAATATTATCGTTGTCACGAAAGAAAACCGCGGAGGAAAAACGTATTGCACGCGGCCGCCGACGTATACGCATCGCCGCATTATCACGAACGATACGCGCGCACACACAGTGACGAGGTAGATTTTCTCGGGCTTCGAGGACGGCGGTGGGGGGTGGTTGAGTAGGAATTGTCCGCGCGGGGGAACACGTGGACAGTAGGAGCAGGTGGCGGAGGAGCGGGAGGAGGGCGGTTGGAGAGCGGCGGCCGTCCGCACGAAAAAACGCGCACGCACACAAGCGCGCACCGCGAACGAACGAAACGCATCGCAGCTGGCGGCGGCGGCGGCGGCGGCGGCGAGACACCGCCACTACAACACGATAACAATAATAATACCAGTCGCGTTTCGATCGGTAACCTCGCAACACCCGTGCGCCCATCACGACCACAGCTGCATCCGCGCCGCGTTGTTTTTATTCCGCGCGCGCGTTGCAGTGTCCGAGTCCCGTACTCCCGTCCACCGGTTCCGTCGTCGGCGTTCCGTACGGAAACCGATCGAGTTCGCCCGACCGAATATCGTTTGGACGATAGGACGATAGGCATTATCTGTCGACGATAAATTATACGGACGGACGAACCGCAAAATTAATAATAACAATAACAACAACAACGACAACGATAACGATCGAATTATTATCATTATCGGCCCGTGGTCCCGGACCATGCGATCGCCGTGCAGACGTACTCCGATGCCGATCGCCGTCGTACCCGTCCGTCGTCGCCAACAGAACGCCACCGCTCCGACCGCTCCACCGGCCGTCACCGTTTCGTCGACAGTGCTCGCACGTCACGTCGTCGACGCGTTGTTCCCGTAGCCGCAGTCGATTCCGTAATATTGTGACGACGCAGACGACGCAGAGTGTCGCCGCCACCGCCGCCGTCCACAGCCCGCGATATTCCGTAAATCGTATTCCGTATTATAAACCCGGTGTCCGCGCACGTGCCCACCCATGTACGTGTCGCTATGCAGAGGGATCCCGGAGAGTTCCTTCAGGTACTTATATATACCCGGCTGTTATGCTCGTCGCCGGCGTAACAAACGGACATTATTATCGTAGGCCGTATAACATTATAGCAATACGAAACCCCGTCGCGCGCATTTAATCGCGACGTTGCCCGGGAAGCGGGAACGGAAGTACGCGCCCGTGTCGCGGTCCGGCGTACCCCCGACTACTTTGATCGCGGTCGACGAGCCACCTCGGTCCCTCTCCCCGTTCTGCCGGACCCTCTCGAGGCGCGGACGGACGAGGGGCGGCAGCGGCGGGATCGACGGTGACGACGTTGGTCTCCCGTCGCGGTCACAATAACAAAACGGGCCCCGTGCCGTACCACAACGCGTACCGCGGTTACGATGCGTTACGCTAACCGGCTGCAATTGGGGGTCGCCAACCGCGTTGCCGCGGCGATGGCCGTTCCACGTCCGACAGCCCCATGAGCTTTACGCAGGACGTTAGTCCCGAGTGTGACGTTTCACACACCTGCTATCCGTAACGCATCTAGTCCACGAGGACAGTATACGTTTTTAAATGTAATCAAGTCGTCTCTCGCTGTAATATTCTATGCGTATTTCGTACACAATAAAAAACCGTTGCAGATTGTTATTCGTACAACAGTAATAGACTCGTATTAATAACAATGATAATACATTTTGTATTCAATTTAATTACGATGCGAAACGGACGCGAACGAAACCATATTATCCTACGTTGCACAGTTTGAAAGTTGGCGACCCTTGGTCCGTTCGCCCCACGTTATCGCCAGACCCGGTGGGCTCGTCCCGCGAAGTAGTCGGGAAATCGCCGTCGGTCTTTTCGCAAATACCGCAATGTTATCACATTGGCTTGAGAACAATGAAACAGCCGGCAGAAATAAAACACGGGCCTGTGTTATTCCGCCGTCCAAAAGTAACGCAGCGAACGCTGTGTATTTCCGTTCCCGTTCCCGAGTGCGGATGTATAGAAACTGTATAGTTAAACACAACCTGAACATTATTATACTCCTCACCCTCCGGACCGCATAACATTTGTTGTGTTTACATCGGTTCACGAACGCGTAAAACGTTTTGCGCAACCGTTCAAAACGCTTTGCGTCCCCGCCGCGCGTTGTGTACGCGCTCACGGACGGGCGCGAATGCCCGCGAAAACATTAACCGACACGAACAGTTGTGTACGGGAAATCGCGGGAACGCGGCCAGTCGTGTGTATTTACGCGTGACGTCACTCCACGTGGAGAGCCGGTCGCCTGTCGTCGTTGTTGTTGCACTGCGCGCTGCGACACGCGCCATTGCACATTACGACGCTACGCGCGCGCACACTTGTGGAACATCGTCGTTTTTAAAGAGTTTTTTTTTCTCTCTTTCCCCTCCCCCCGCCTACATCGCGTTTCGTGCTGTACTATGTTAATGTTATTATCCGCCCGTTCTGTTCGACGGCGCGTTCTCAGTGGCGTGATTCGGTCTAGGTCTTCGGCGGGCGCGGAGACGGGAGTAGGGAATTTGTACGGGCCGGGAGCTACGAACTCGTTGGCTATAAGAGCTATTTCCGTGGGGGAGGGGGGGGTAGAGGTAAGGTTTGAAAAAAAAAAAATGAAATCGCAAGTGTATAATAATCATATTATTTTCATAATATCAATGACAAACAAACTGTACAATCTGTAATTACAGGTCTAGACGTCTAGTCCACTTGCCGGCCTCACAGCCATTTCGGTATGTCCTCCCGGTCTATAAGTACATTTTTATGTACTGCCAGTATGATAGCCAACGCATTTAACCGATAATGATGATTGTGTAGTATCGTAATTTTCATTATATAAATACGAATTAGTAACCCATTTTAAATAATGTCACCTATTAAAATAAATTATTTTTACGTAACGACCAATTTGTATAATTTTTTTTTTTTTGTATTCTTTCATTTAATTTTTCACATTCAGTCGCGTTTTTCGTTTTGACTGTGACGTACCCGATGATGAATTTTTAATTCTAAACCGGTCGTATAATAACACTTATCATAACACTCCAGGTGACGCGTTTACTCATTTATTTATTTTTCGTTTTTATCTATACATTTTTTATTTAAAAAATACACACCTTATACATAAATATACATATGTGAGATACCTCTCGCATCGTATTCCGGAACCATGCTAAATCTTTTCGGGGTTGAGGACGTAAGGGTCCGGGCGTTTATACGGATAATGTACACGATAATTTAAATGGAATTGCCAATGGGATGAGATATTGTGTGGCGTACCCGGGATTTTTCGATTGAGGAGGGCGGTTTAACTCGAAAACCTACGGATAAAATAACAAACGTTTTGCGAATTACATAAATGCAGTGCAGTAGAAATTTTGTCTACTTAGTTAAAAAAGTAGTGCAATTATACGTAATGATTAAAATTAAATTTGAGTTGGTAATAATTAGTCAATGTTGAATATAATCCATATTATTTTTCAATATTTGACAAAACAAACGAAGGGGTGGCTAAAGCCTCTTTAGCCTTCCCACTGGTTACGCTGTTGCGAGACTAACGAGTATCGTTATCTCGAATACACCGTTCTTCTGTTGTACCATAGCAATCCGAAAATGCCAATTTGTATACAATAAACCAATCTTTTTTTCTTGTAATTTGGTAAAAATAGATACATAATTTCCTGCTAGAATGACTGAATAAACACACATATAGTTGTGCTCTTAAGAAAATGAGAGAGGAACATAACCCATAACATTCCCCCTCCTCTGCGCGCACGCCACTGACGGTTTGGATCGAGACGAATATGATATAATTTTTCAAGTAGAAGGACGCCATAGTCTCTGTAATTAATATTAACATTTTGCAAAACAACGTAAATTTCCCTTGCAACAACGACAAAAAAAAAAAAAAAAAACTATCCAAAAACTCGGCAACTTAGATTAAAACCAATAATCGCGTTTTATTTTATTTGTATTCTTTCCACGTTCAAACGACCCCAAAACACTAAAAGCGAATTAAACATCACCAAATTATTTAACGAGATGACGGTCAACGTTCCGTCGTTGAGTCGTGGAAAGTGCGAACAATAATAATAACGTGTATTTAATAATAGAACGTCTCTTTTTTATGGCACGTCTTTATTTTTTATATAATAATTGTATTGCGCACTACTCACACTACCTACGACATTGTGTTTAGAAATTATAATAGTTTTGTTACTTTCTCCTAGATAAAAAACACATTTCCGTTTTGTTTTGTTTTTACCTGTTCGTTCAATTTTTCGTTACATTATCATACCAGTCTACTACGACTAGGTCGTCTGTACAATAATTCGTTTTTATCTCGAAAAATACATCCGAAACGCGTACATACAAAGAGCGGGATATTTTGTATTGCTATATTATACTATAAATATTACCGTGGTGTTATCGTAGTTCAATTATAGTATTTCACCGTTAGGTGAGCCTGATCTGACCCCAGTCGGCCTAACTCGAGGAGATCGGAAGCGGTGGTTTTTCGTCTTCGTCTAACATGCGCGCAACATAGAAATTTAGACGTGTTTTCATTCCGATTAATTTAGAAACTCGACCAGTATTCTGGGTAACGGATTCAAACGACTCGTCAAGTTTAAAAACTGAAAAACCGGAAAAGTCGATCTCAAGTTGACGACAAAATATATTCAAATCTGTGTTCAGAATTATACGTACGGGTCGTGATATCCGCGTACGCATCGTCTCCGTCTTTACAAACACGTTTTCGTTCAACAGTGACAACTTTTTGCTGTTAGTTTTAATATTAAGAGTGAATCAAACTGTTATCGGTAAGAACATTGTCATCACTGACTGTGTGTAACCGCGAAAGTGTTTGTCGATAATTTTTAAGCGCGATAAGAGTAAGTTCTTGGAACATCACGATTCGAAAACGCTTACATCTCGCTTAAAAATTAAAATATCGAAAAAAAAAAAACCTCCATAGTTACACAGAATGTCCTTATCTTTACGTTTTATCGTAGGCCGGTTCACTGTGATATTGAAACTGACAGCACCAAAATTGTGCCAGCCGAACTCAAATTTGACATTTCGTGTACCGTTTGCAAGACGGAGACGGCACATGCGGATATCACGTCCTCTTAACCCAATCGTAGTGCGGTTTATTATATGGGACGACGGTAATTCAATTCGGAATAATTCGAATTGTACGCGAAAACCGTCTAATGCGCGCGTACCTATCCTACACGTGTTTTGAAAGTAAAAGTTAACATTTTTTTGTTTCCCCCCCCCCCCGTTCTTGGCGAGAGTAACGAAAACACACGTGCGTGCCAATAACACTCGTCGGTTTTTGTTATTATTTATTCCGAACACGACACGCGCAGCGCGTTACCAAACAATAAATTTATTGATATTATTCACGATTCGATTCTGTTTTACGTTCGCCGACAAATAGTTTTCGAACAATAATACAATATTATGTTTATTTCGTTGTTACAACTATAGTGACGTGAAATTGCCGGTTATTTATTTTTAAATAATGCTTGCCCGAATTAATTATCGATAGATTATTAGCCGGTAAGCTACTTTTTCATGGTAATATTGCAAAATTAATTTTTCTATTTTCTAATTAAACAAAAAACGTATTATTATTATTGGAACTTAAAATACCCATACTGCATAATATACCACCTTAAACTGGCTACATTAAACTATATAGCTATGCAAATTTTGTTTCCCTTCGTGTAATTATTGTACATACCTAAACCTAATTGCATTGTAAATTATGATGGTAATTATTTTAATAGTAGTAATAAATAATAAATGTTATTAGTTATTACTTATTACTTAAGTAGTCGGTGAAAACTGAATAAACGGACAAAACATTTATGATTTTTAAACGTCTTATCACTCTTATCATTTTAATTTATTTCGAAACTAATCTGATCAGTGTTACCGGATGGTCTTAGTACGGCCATTAGCAATTATTCATTATTCGAGTAAAACGATTAAGAAATAAATTACTTGTAAAATGGTAAAATACTTACCGATAAATTATATTGTTTCACTTTACATTACCAAAGTAATATTGTTGATTTACATCGCTAGATGTAACACTGTACTATATTACATAGATACAGTTTATAACGAGAGAACGGGAATTTCAATGTACTTTGCACTGTTTACCAAAGCTTACTTCGCGGTGTGTTTTTGAACGAGACGTTTTATAAAATATACGGTTTTTGGTTTAAGTAATTTTTTTTTTTCCTGTTTTGTAGCGTATTTTATAGATGCGTTAGTTTGAATTTTTCTGACATGAACACGTTTTTTTTTTTTTTTTTTTTGAGGGGGAAGACATTTTTTATGGTTTTCCGGGGCCGCATTACATTACCAGCCCTAGTTGTTATTTATTATGCGGTCTACATATTGTTGTATTAATATCATACGGTTCTAATACGTTGCGGTCTGATGATACTCTGCTCGAAAAATTAGTAATACGCAGGTTCCTAGAATAAAAAAGCGAAACTGTATCCGATATACAATCTCCTGTAATTTCAAAACAATATTATAAACACGTTAAAAATCAACTAGATAAACCAAAATAACAATATTTATGTAAATAAATAAATGAATTACAAATTAAGAATATCCCGCCATGATAAATAACTCAAACTACTTAAGGAAAAAAAACCAATAAATAATTCGGATTTTCATTAGAGTCGTTCTAACCAACGATTTCGTTTATCTGATTTTAAAACTGAGGTTATCGCTAATAACTGTAGGTTTAAGGACTTCTAGCTCTAAAAAAATGTATCTTATTGAAATTATTTGAAATTGTATACACTAAAAACTTGATATATCACTAAATTTGTATTTTTTTTTTTTTGTCATTGTTATTTATTTATTATCAATGGTATTCATATAAAATCTTTTTGTATTTTGAGATGAATATTCATAGAGTTATTGATCAAACTCAATGTTAACTAAATTAACTATTTTACGATAGTCTATTCAACTATGCTATCGCACATCAGTGATTCCGTATGAATTTGAACAATGTAAATAGAAAAAAAACGTGTTTAATAAAAATATACTTTAAAAAGTAAAAACTATAAAATATGCAAAATGAAATTTAGAATTTAGATTCCTTATACGATGAACAATATTTATGTTTGGCTTGCTATTTGTTTAATTTTTCAAAAATGATACGCAAACGCTAGAAGTCTCTAACCCTACAAGGTTGTCTTATTAGCTTCGTGTAAAAGCAACGTTTATGTTGGCGAGAATGGTCTTTATTCTTTACCGACAATAATAAGGGACGGGGTGAAATTGACGAGGCTATTTCTTAGAAAATAAATCTTTCTCTAAAATCACTTCGTTTTTATATCCGGCTATGAAGTTTAATGTTCCGAGTCTAAATTGTACGTATATTTTTTATTATAAAATATAGGTTCTATACAAGGTGATCCATTTAAGTGGGTTCACTTATTATCTCGGAAAGTATTAACTTTTTTTTGGAATTTGTTTTCTAGAATATTTAAGAAACAATCAGTTCTACAATTTTATATTTATGTTATTTATTATCGCCCTTAATTTTGGGGGTAAAACTTCTACCTACTTTTGGTTTTAAAATGGCAACCTACATTAGAAAGTCCATTGGAGGAGAGTAGTGGAACAATATTTATATGGCGGATAGTATATAGTGCAGCGCGTTAATAATACATTAATGGATCACTAGGTAGATATGCCTGAAATAACCGATAAAAATCAAATTGTGCATGTAAACCGCACACGGTTTTATCCGTATGTATAACGCATCCATAAGACTGTATGATTAGTGCTGAAGTTTGATCAATTCATTCGGAGCAAATCCGATCGTAAAATAGGTTTAACGGATTCAATCCGTAGTCCGGATTGAACAAATTTAGACCACGAATTAAGATAGTAAGTATCTTAATACAAACGGACCAAAGCGTAACACTTTATGTTATTAATTTTATTGTTATCGTTTTACGAATGAGAAATTATTTCAGTGTTACCAATTAATAATAATAATAACGAAACGAAGTGTTGTAATGGAAGGATTAAAACCTTCGGCGGGTAAAAAACATTCAGTGGCGGGAGTGGCATAAGTCCCACTTAGTCCCACACTCCCTCTAATGTCCACCTATAAACAGCACCTATATACAATAACATTGTTCAGTAATATATTATTATTTTACATAATTTCTTTGATATAGTTTCTATACCGAACGGTATAGTAAAATTATTGACGTCGAACACCGACAACACGACGATTATAATACTATTGCATGCGCATTAAAATGTGAAATAGTTTTGTATTCGAGTGTATAATATTATTATCATTACTTATTGTGTTTACCATTATACTACTTAGCATTTTAGTAACGGGTAACGGACCGACGGAATACTTCGTACATAATAATTGATAAGGAGTTAAAGGTACCTATTTTGGGTTGACTGCACGATTGCAACCTGGGTGCAATAGTGCAGTTCACTGATAATCGTACTGGTGCAGGCCGGTGCAAGTGCAAATTAAACATATCATTTTGTATTATTTCAACACAATTGAATAATAACATTAATTAGATATCACGATTATAAATAGAACCGTGTTAGATCCCAATGGGCAATGATTTAAGGCTTATTAAAAATTAATTCAATAACGTGCTCACTATTTGAAGGTAAAAATGATAAGAGTGCAACTTTATTTGGATCATTGACATTCATATTTTAATACTAAAAATTATCCAGGTTTATCAGATGATATAGATATTTAGCTATTCGCTCTATTATATTATTATGCATAATACAGTTAATAAACTTTACAATCGTGAATATTCGTGATCAGATTTTTTTGAATTTAGATTTGGAATCGACTCATGACGAAGTAAACACGTGTGGAATAACAATGGCTCAAAAGATTAGAAAATAAAAATGCTCAGATAAAAATTGAAGACAGGTACCTTTATCAATAGAAAATAAGATGCATCGACACGAGCAGCTCATTTAATTATCATTGCACTAAGTGTAAGAAACCGGCATGTGAAACATATAGGAATCCGCAATAGCTGTGAACTGATATTCCATATTATGAAACATACAGTAAATTCGCCATGTCGTGTGGACAACGCTATTATATTGTTAAATCGATTATTTATTATGCTCGGGTCATTATTAGGTATTCCGTATAATAAACAAACTGATTCTCTTATCGTGAATCAATAATCATATTATTGAAATAATACCACTATTACAATCTCTCATTCTAATCGCCATTCTTATCTGTATGGTTCTGCACTCTCGTATGGACAATAATAAAACTATGCAGGTCGATAAGACACTCGTTATCTTGAAAAATGTTTAACTCTTTCAGGAAATTGTTTTTTTTGAACATTTAAGAAACAATCGGTTTTAAAATGTTACATCGCCGTTATTTTGCGTCACCTATATTTTCGGAAGTGGAACCACTATCCGCTTTAGGTTTTCAAATCGCAACCTATAATATTGAACATTTTAGTTTAAATAAATGTTTGTGTTGACATTTTCAATTTTCGTCAACCCGTCGACGTGATATTCCACTTTTAAGTTCGTGTTTTGTGGATAAGATGAGAGTAGTGAAGCACTACTGAAACGCCGCTCGTCCCGCCACCGTATAAATGACGCTTCACTACAATTCTACTCCTATCCTAACTAAAAAGTATAATATTATGTTAACGGCTTGACGGAAGTCAAAAAAGTATTTAAACTAAAATTTCGTCTAAAATTTATGGAATTTTTTATATAGGTTTCCATTTAAAAATTCTAAGTGGGTAAGTAGTGGTTTCACTCTTGAAAATAGGAGCGATAAAAAAAAAAAAAACAGAAATGTAAAATTTTGTTACACAAGTGCTTGTCTAAAAATGTTCAAGAATAAATAATCCCGAAAAGAGCTAACATCTTCGGAGACAATGTCTTGTCGAGAATTGATTACTTGAAAATAATGATATCGTAATTTCGGTCTGTTATCAAACCGATGTATCAAAAAAATAAAAAATAACAGCTCGTCTAACGAGTGTATATGCATTCATATTTTAATCCTTGCACAAAATTAATTCAATTATTTAATTATTGTAGACTCTTATATTTGTTTATGAAACAATCGATTATTAAATATATTAATAAAATAATAACACAATGTAAAATATTTCGTTAGACTGGATGGCTAATATTCGTGGTACATTTGGTTAAATGTCCGTGGATTTATATTCCCTATGTTCTACTACCTGTACATTTTTCCACAACACGATTCACTATACAGTGTAGGATCATTTAAGGGTTCGAAATGGTATTATATGTGTCGATAACAAATTTCAGGGATATGTTAAAATTTGTGAAATGTATACAAAATATATTATTTTCAAATCGTAAATATAACGGTCTTTCAAACCCACTCAGAATCATTTTTCACAAGAAACGACTAATATTTTCGTACATTATATTTCCCATCTGCCTTATCAACTTCTCACCTGCAACTGCAGTGACTCACCCATGGTACGAAGTATACCCGTTTTTTTTTTTTTTTAAACATTAAGTTCAAATCTCAGAACATGTTGAACCGAACTTTTGCCCAAAATCGTTTTTCGTTTTCAACAGTTTATCGTCGAGAACGAATATAAATTAGATAATTTTATTTATCCTATACATTCCCAACTTCCATTTACAACAGTGGCACAACCGCCCTAGTATTAAATCTTTACTATTCGTTTTTAGTGGCGTGACTAGGACCTTATTTTGGGGGGTGATTTAAAAAATAACATACATACTTAATAAGTTTTAATAGCACTTAAAAAAAAAAACTTACGATAATTATTTAACGTAAAAAAAAGGTTTTGGGAATGGTTTATCACCCACGTTACTCCCCCCCCCTCCTCCACCCCTCTAGTTATACTCGTTTTGTTTGATTTTAACGAAATTTTGCAAATCGTATAATAATAATAATTATACTAGTTAATAATATTAACATGCCGTACATATGTGTAGATGATGTTTAAAGTAATACAATAATGATAGTGTTGACGTCTCGTATGACGTCCGCCGTGTACTAAACACAACCAAACGCTATTTTTCCCCCCGATATTCAAGTACGTATATTTATCGTGGTTATGTTACCGCGATTTCGAGAGTGCTGTAGACGATCGCGTTATTGGACAACGACATAACCACCGGTTGAATGGGCACGATAATGTATAACGGTGTATAGAGAATTTGTCATTATTTATTTTTTTTCAATCCTTCTGGTCGAATATTATTAACTCGCGGATGCACTTTTCAAACCATCACTTTCTAGAGAACGCCATCGTATATTCAATAGATAGCAATAATACTTTTATAATCACTTCGGGCTATTATATCCGAACGAATTAACATGACGCAATACGTCCAAAACAATATTATATACTCGGATGAACATTATTTTGTATCCTGCTATCGATTTATATTGTGAATAGTTGGCACCTTTATTCGTACCCCTACAATTGGATATTTGTATCAAATACGAATAATCGAATATTTATTCATTTTTTGACATTGTTAGACACACATCATAGTAAAACCGATACATTCCTCGTTGCGTTCAAGTCTATGACAATAGGAATGGAATCTGAAATTTTGAACTTATATGCCATATAAATATAATACCATAACTACGTCATAGATGAACTGGCGTTTCGTAGTCATAATGGATTTTTAAATGTCCATTTTTATACACGAGAACTCTTGAAACAATGTACCAATCTAAAAATGACAATTTATCGAGTTTGTTCCTTTGATTATATAACCACTGATAAAGAAAGTCGTATTTTAATATCTAAAGTTTTTTTTCATAATTATTGGGAAATACCAAATAAGATGAAAAAAGTTATTTTTTTTTTCGAATTGCAGCGCAGCGATTTCATTATTTAACATTTTGATAGCTTATGTTTTCTATCATTGCCCCAATAGAAAAACAACAATCGACCTTTTTTGTTTAACTTTTAATCTGATTTATGAGTAAGTAATTAGTTTTTTAATTTCTCCTGTAATTTTTGTAATATTTTAGCAAAATTTGTTAAATTGTTAAATTAAACTGAAATGTTTGAAAATGCGACGAAAAGAGGTTCAATATAAATCGTATTTAGTGGTAAAAAAAAAGATGCGCTCTTGGGCGTATCCAATGTTGTAGATGGGAAATTGGGAAGGTAGGATACAGATGGGAATTTAATGTACATCTGTAAGCAACGATAAACTATTGCTAACAAAAAAACTATTCTGAGTAGAGTTCAGTTGATAGTGTTGCTTTGTCAACAATACAATATTTGGTATACGTCATATTATGGTAAGATGATTACAATAATGTGTATTTCTATGACAACAATGATATTGTTTAAAAAAGGTTAAAATAATAAAAACTTAATAATAACAAAAATAAATTAAAATGGCTACCAATGACAACCTTATTTTTAATCTTTCAATCTTTATTAACTCAAATAATCAGATTTTTCTCATTATCTTGAATATTAATGAGAATTTGAAAAAAAATAAAGTCTTAAAAGTACAACCCAGAGAATATTTCCTTTCAGAAAAAGTGCTATACTTCATAATGCTATACAACATAACTGTACAACCAATACAATCCTCGCTTCGCTTAGAATCTAAAAAAAATGATTATTAAATGTTGTATTTTTATTTTGTGATAAGAGTTTTAAAATATTGAACATTTTAAAAATTTTGAATAAAATCGTTAACATTATGGCCTTTTAAAATATGTATAACTGAACTTTGCTCCGAATTGTTTTCGGTTGGAAATGGTTCATGTCTTAGTTTATGGTTGGTTATTACAGGTATACATTTTTTTTTTTTTTTATTTTAAATTTGTATAATATACAATCTATTCCTGAGGAATAATAAGAATATGTGATGATGGGAGGAGCTATCCAGTGGTAACACTGCCCTTAATTGAGTTATTGTTTATTAGTTATTAAGAAGATCACGGCCCCATTCTCTTCTAAGCCTCCTGGGAGGATTTCCAGGAATTGTGAGGGAGGAAAGATTTGAGATGAGTGGGTTGATATGGAAAGGAAGTTTGGAATGGAAACGTTTTTAAAAAGTGACTGCTTCTTCATGAACTGTTTTGATTTTTAGGTCAGAGTGTAAAGTTAAGTTAGAGATGTATGGTGGAGA